TGGAAAACAATCGGCCGATTTTGCCGATCAGCCGATTTTCGCGGCAATGATGGGCAAATCGTCCAATCTTTTTACCGATAAAAAAAAATCTGCGCATGAGCCGTGACCTGCAAGAGGAAGACAAAAAGATGAAGAAAAAAGAAGAAGAGGATGAAGAAGAAGAAGAAGAGATGAAGAAGAGTAAGAAGAAGAGGAAGAAGAGGAAGAAGAAGAAGAAGAAGAAGAGGAAGAAGAAGAAGAAGAGAAGAGGATGAAGAAGAGGAAGAAGAAGAAGAGGAGGAAGAAGAAGAATAGGAAGAAGAAGAGGATGAAGAAGAAGAGGATGAAGAAGAGGATGAAGAAGAGGAAGAAGAAGAGGAAGAAGAATGAAGATGAAGAGGAGAAGAAGAGGATGAAGAAAAGAAGAAAAGCAAAGCAGAAAAAGAAGAGGATGAAAAAGAATGAGGATGAAGAAGAGGATGAGGATGAAGAAGAAGAATGAAGAAGAAGAAGAGATGAAGAAGAAGAAGAAGAAGAGGAGAAGAAGAAGAGGATGAAGAAGAAGAGGATGAAGAAGAGGATGAAGAGAAGAAGAGGAAGATGAAGAAGAGGATGAAGAAGCTGAAGAAGAGGATGAAGAAGAGCTGAAGAAGAGGATGAAGAAGATGAGAAGAGGATGAAGAAGAAGAAGAAGAAGAGGATGAAGAAGAAGAAGAGGATGAAGAAGAAGAAGAAGAGGATGATGAAGAAGAAGAGGATGAAGAAGCAAGAAGAGGGATGAAGAAGAAGAAGTAGAAGAAGCAGAAGAAGAAGAAGAGGATGAAGAAGAGGAAGAAGAGGATGAAGAAGATGAAGAAGAGGATGATGAAGAAGAAGAGGATGAAGAAGAAGAAGAGGAAGAAGAAGAAGAGGATGAAGAAGAAGAGGAATTCCAGTCCGGCAAAAAATGTCCCTGCAGAGAGCTTCGCTATTTCTTTGACAGTTCCTTGACATTTATAGCGGTTGCAACAATGTATCTATTTGTTTCCGAATAAAAACATCTGTATCCTAAATGGATACAAATACATTGTTGCAACCGCTATAAATGTCAAGGAACTGTCAAAGAAATAGCGGAGCTCTCTGCAGGGACACTTTTTGCTGGCTGTAGACGGGATGAAAATCGGCCGATTTTTTTTTACCGTTGCTGGTAACGTCGGCCGCTTGAACGACCGATTTTTCATTTTTTTAAAGAAAAATCGGCTGCTTTTCGACCCATCTATGGCCTGCATTAGGCTGGCCATACATTATACAATTTTCTTGAGAAATTTTGGTTTAGATTTACCAAAAACCATATAATATGAGGTCAAACCTGTATGGCCAGCCTTAACATTTTTTTTATTGAAAAAAACATGCGTTTTTTGCCAATGAGAGCTCCACAAAAATCTATACCTAACAAATAACAGTCTAGCAATGATAATAAACTCATGAAGAAATTGGATAAAATAAAATGTAAATTTCAGTCTCTTCCTTATAAATACTTTATCCACTTTCTCAAAGAAAAACTTTGAGGACAAGTGGGTTTGCTGTCAAAAACAGGATTTGTCTAGCAGGGGAAGGAAGTTTTAACAAATTACTTTTTATTGACGTATTTTACAATGTACACTGTGACATCTTACAGCTGAATGTAACGAGCTGGGTCTTTTGGAAAGAGATTTAGGAAGGAGCTCAAATAGCTGCAGACATATTTTTAAATGTCTAGATGCCACAACATAAGACAAGGATCACTCTAATTGGTCCCCTGTGGATGTTATTGGTCAGAACGGTCTAGTAGCAATATGATTGTGGTATGGGATGAAGGCACTGCGCCCAGAAGTGCATTTAAAAGACAAAGGAATTTAAGAGTATATAGTCTCTTACACAAATACATACTGAAATTAAAGACTCTTAAAGGGCCAGTCCACCCAAAGCTGATGTTTCAGTTCTTGGTAAAGACTTCAGAATTAAAGGAGAAGGTATTTGGGGTTTTTAACTATTTCCAGAATTTAAGAGTGCTACACACGCCACAAAAAAAGTTATCATTGTACACAGGGCGTGTGTAGCACATCCAGTCCTTTTTCCCTGCTCCCTACTCCCAGTAGACAGCAATTTGGCTCTGAATAATCAAATGTACTCTCCAGCGCCTCAGGATATGCACAGCCAAAAGGGAAGCCAAGGGTACCAGGACAGCGACAACCAAAGGAAATGCTTCAGGGGTGCAGCCCTCCTCAGACGGGGAAATCAGCCACTAGATAGAGAGAAAACAGGTGGCGCACACACCTAGTGCATTATCCAAGGTTTATTGTGAGAAGTGAAAGAATAATAAAAACATACTCACAGACGAAGCATGTATCTAAAAAGCATAGAAAAATGACAATGGCCACAACGGCAGGCAAGGTGTTCTCACTGTTAGTGCGGTCAAATGGCTGACGCGTTTCGGGGACGAATCCCTTTCCTCAGAGCTGATGACCAACCTCTGATGCAGATGTGTGATGAATGAAAAGTAGGAGCCTTGCTGTTGATGCCTGAGTGGGATGGTGTGGGAGTGTGCTTTATGCCTGTGGGGAAAAACTATTTTCCCCACAGGCATAAAGCACACTCCCACACCATCCCCACTCATTTTTCTATGCTTTTTAGATACATGCTTCGTCTGTGAGTATGTTTTTATTATTCTTTCACTCCTCACAATAAACCTTGGATAATGCACTAGGTGTGTGCGTTACCTGTTTTCTCTATATCTGATTAATCAAAGCCGCATTGCTGTATAAACAGAAAAGGTCTGAGAAGCTGCAGCTGTCTGAAACAGACTACAATGTTTACCAGCAAACTGCTCAGATTACACAAAGATACAATGTAACATAGTGTTACATTTATATCTTTTCTGTTCATTTGTCTTCATACCAAAGGATAAACTCTGCAGATGATGTCAGTAAAGAAACTGTTAAAGTTTTTTTTTTTTTTTAATAAATAAAATGTTCCTGAGTTTACCTGCTTATTAACCCTTAGTTTACTCTAATCAGCCCTAATGAACTCCTTGTTCTCCTTATCCATTCAATTTTTACTTTCCTGATGATATTTTTTCTGTTTTAAACATTTACCATATGCTTACACGTTTACATTTTACAAAAAGCGCAATATTGAAACAAAAAACTCTTTATTTCATTTGGAAATAACTTTGTAATGATTTTCTAGAATTAAAATTAATTTATTTATTATTATACTAACACTAATCAAAAAAAGAAAAAGTGTGGTTTGTTTATTTTTGTTACGTTTAATTGTCTAAGGATTGCGCTAAAAAATAATTCCTGCAAGATAATATTATAAAAAAAAAAGAGACTTATCTGTCCTTAAAAAACAATATACGTAGTACCTTGTTATCTTAAGTAATGACAAAGTTATCACCAATTAAACAGACCCTTAGCAGAATTGTAAAAATTGCTTTGATCCATTGGGGGTGAATAGGTGTGACAGGTGAAGTGGTTAAAAAAAACAAACATCTCTACTTATCTCTATGCTGCAGCATCACTCTGATGCTGCAGCTGTCCCCCGTCAGCTCTAAGCCTGAGAATTGAGCAATCAGATCAGTCACCCTCTGCCCCTTCAGAGCTCAGTGGAGTGAGCAGGTGCACTTCGCTTCAACTCTCACCCGCACACTGAACAGCCAGAGACAGCTGTCAATCAGGCAGCTGGGTGGACCATGACAATATGGTCGGGATCCTTCCATAGCCTGGAGCAGCTCTGTGATGTCAACTGACAGTAAAATTTGGTCAGCTATAAACTGACTCTGGGTCCCAGGAAAACAAAAATAAGTGAATGTCTGTGACCCAGAAGAGATGTATGACCAAAAAATAGATGCACACACCTCTCTTTTAAACCATTTCTTTTATTTCTTGGAGACTCCATTGGTGGGATGTTCCTTCAGAGGTAGCTAGGGGTTCCTTGGGCAGTAAGTAGTATTGGATTAATCTTCTGTCTGTCAGTATGTGTAGTTCCAGAACCAACGTCACTCAGTGGGACCAAAGACTTGGGACTAGCAAACACCAATATAAGTGGGGCACTACACTGTGTCCTTCTTCCACTAGCCATCAATATAAGTGGGGCGTTCATCCATTGATCTCTAGTGTAGTGGAGCACTTTTACACTGACCCACCAATGTACAGGGACGCTACAATTTTCATTGTCAAAAAAGTATTTCTGGACATTATCAATCATTTTAGGGTTATTTATAGTTATACGTTGTGCATGGTTGTGGGGTTGCAGCACGGCCCCATTGATTTGAGTGGGTCGCATTCAGTAGGCAGTAGTGCCCACCGAGCACAATGGCAGTTATAATTCCTGCCAGAATGCAAAGCATTCTTTACACCCCCAGCCACTGCCTTCCTGGCTAAAGGGGTGGTAAAAACACAGCTCAACTGTGGGGTTTTTACTGCCCCCAACTACAAGTGTAAATATGCCCTTCAAGTGGGCACAGCGCCTGTCAAATGAAACAAATTAAAGTGAATAGGGCCACTCTGTAAGCTCCCTGCAACCGGTTGTGGCTTACTAGTGCAGGGTTCAAGGGGTTAATGCAGGCGGTGAGAAGGCACTAGGACATTTCCTCTGTCCAATGCTATCTGAAGAGCGATCTGAATGCGGATTACTCTTCAGAGACCAAAGCTATCATGAACGAGCCCTAATAGTGGAAACATAGTTCACATTCACGTGCAGACTTTGGTCCACGACTGGTACTAACTCTGTCTGGGCTCCCTAGAAGGAGGAAAACAGCAATAAAAATGGTTTATTTAGAATGGCTAACGTTAAAAAGATTAAGAGGATAAAGCCATTACATAGCCATTATTATAATAATAACAGCAGATGTACCATTCATTAATTTATATTTAGCAGACTCTATGACTTTTATATCGTAGCACAAGCCCAGCGTCTGCTTTCCATTGCTATAAAAGAACAGGCTGTGTATACATATTCTGACATCAGACATAAAGGTTTAGATTAAATTTCATGCTTACCACAACTTTTTCCTTATGAGACCTGACCATTGCCCCAAACCATTGTTTTGACTTGAATTCGAGCGCCTGTTTGGTTCCATTCAGCCTGCTGTGCCTGTTGCCTGTACAGGAAGAAGAACATTAGAGCCCAGTCAGTCGGGATTCTCTGTTTCACGCTAAAACGCGCTGCCGGGCTCATTAGCTGGTCACTGAGTTACAGCCCTCATCTAACACAACATAAAAATACACCGGGGACATAAAAAACCTAAAAAAGAACGAAATACTAGAGGGCCAGCAACGACATACGTCTGAACACTAAAAGGCCGCTGAGGACGGTACAAAACCAACCTTGGCCAATACAAATGTCTTGTAACCTAATTTGGTTCCTTTCACATTCTAAATGGTTTAACGAGCAGCTCTAGACAGGTAAAACCAGTCAGCAAATAGATAATGTGACCCAAAAGACACCGAGCCAAATGAGTTCAACGAATTTCTTGTTACTTTGATTGTTCTGTACTGCACTGCAGCCGTATTCAGTAGGACTCTCACACTGTTCGTAGGTGAGACTGCAGCCATTCTGGGCTGTGAAACCTTCATTTCATGCTACATAGTTACATAGTTAGTCTGGCTGAAAAAAGACAAAAGTCCATCCAGTTCAACCATAAAAAGAAAAAAAAAAAAAGTTATAAGCACAGTGGCTAAATGGTTAGCACTTCCGCCTGGCAGTACTCGGGTTGTTGGTCATATCCCAACAACAGCACCACCTGCCTGGAGTTTGCATGTTCTCCCTGTGCCTGTGTGGGTTTTCTCCCACACTCCAAAGACATGCTGGTAGGTTAATTGGATCCTGTCTAAATTGGCCCCAGTATGTGTATGTATGAATGTAAGTTAGGAATCGTAGATTGCACATCCCGCTCGCATGGTTGGATAAGGGTCTGGTGTGGATTTTGGAGGGGACCCCACATAATTTTTTTGTAACGTTTGGCTATAGGTTCCCCTTAAAATCCACCGTAATTCTTTTTTTTACAGTGGGAAACCACTGACAGCTGATGAGCCATCGGTTGTTAAGGACTCAGCGTCTGTATGTATGAATGTGAGTTAGGGACCTTAAAGTGTACACTCCTTGAGGGCAGGGACTGATGTGAATGTACAATATATACAGTTGTGTTCAAAATAACAGCAGTCAGACATCACTAACCTGACCAATCACTGTTTTTGGTAGAAATGATATTTCTACATGGCAAATAATTTACTAGCAGGTGTAGTAGAGTAATAGAAATCCAACAGACCCAACAGTCATGACATGCATGCTGCTGATTCTGTGTAATTGAATCACTAATTGAAAGGGGCATGTTCAAAATAATAGCAGTGTGGAGTTCTGTTAGTGAGGTCATTCATTCTTTGAAAAACAGGGGGCAATTATTGCCCTTATTTAAGGAAGGAAGGCAGCAAATGTTGTACATGCTGGTTACAGTGCATTTCTCTCTGAAATTCTGAGGAAAATGGGTCGTTCCAGACATTGTTCAGAAGAACAGCGTACATAGATTAAAAAGTTGATTGGAGAGGGGAAAACATATAAAGAAGTGCAGAAAATGATAGGCTGCTCAGCTAAAATGATCACAAATGCTTTAAAATGGCAACCAAAAACTGAAAGACGTGGAAGAAAAGCGAAAAACTACCATTCCAATGGATAGAAGAATAGCCAAAATGGCAAGGACTCAGCCAACAATCAGCTCCAGGAAGATGAAAGAAGGTGTAAAGTTCCCTGTGAGTACTGTTACAATTAGAAGACACCTATGTGAAGCCAAGCTATCTGCAAGAAGCCCCCGCAAAGTCCCACTGTTGAAAAAAAGATATGTGCTGAAGAGGTTACAATTTGCAAAAGAGCACATTGACTGGCCTAAAGAGAAATGGCGCAACATTTTGTGGACTGATGAAAGTAAGATTGTTCTTTTTGGGTCTAGTGGCCGGAGACAGTTTGTCAGACGACCCCCCAAACACTGAATTCAAGCCACAGTACACTGTGAAGACAGTGAAGCATGGTGGTGCAAGCATCATGATATGGGGATGTTTCTCATACTACAGTGTTGGGCCTATTTATCGCATACCAGGGGTCATGGATCAGTTTGAATACATCAGAATACTTGAAGAGGTCATGCTGCCTTATGCTGAAGAGGAAATGCCCTTGAAATGGGTGTTCCAACAAGACAACAACCCCAAACACACCAGTAAACATGCAACATCTTGGTTCCAGACCAACAAGATTGATGTTATGGAGTGGCCAGCCCAATCCCCGGATCTTAATCCAATAGAAAACTTGTAGGGTGACATCAAAAATGCAGTTTCTGAGGCAAAACCAAGAAATAGAGAAGAACTGTGGAATGTCGTCCAATCATCCTGGGCTGGAATACCTGTTCACAGGGGCCAGAAGTTGGGTGACTCCATGCAACACAGATGTACAGCAGTTCTCAGAGACAGTGCGACTACAACCAAATATTCATTAAGTGATTCAAAGGAAAGCAAAATCTTCAAACATTTTTCAGTTTATATAGTGAATGTTTGAGTTTGTAAAGAAGAATATAAACACTGCTATTTTTTTTTGAACAGTCTAATATTCACTTTTCTTCAATTTGTTTAGAGGAACAACACAAATTTGATATATTTTTTCTTCATGTTTTGATTTGGAATAGAATGTGTCGTGTTCCCAATGCATTTGTGTGTATGGAAATAACAGCTATTAGAAGGATTTTGAGCTTTATTCACTTTTTTCAACACACTGCTATTATTTTGAACACAACTGTATGTAAAGCACTGCGTAAACTGACGGCGCTATATAAGTACCTGAAATAAATAATTCTATACCCACAGCTGATCCAGAGGAAGGCAAAAAAAAACCCAGCAAAGCATGATCCAATTTGCTCCTGCTGGGAAAAAAATTCCTTCCTGATTCCCCCGAGAGGCAATCGGATATTCCCTGGATCAACTTTACCTATGCTCCGATGTGCATGGGTGAAGCTCCAATGGGCTTAAAGGATAACTCCACTTTATTGAGAAAAATAGCAAACAAAAAAAACAAATATACATTTACAACACAAGTCATATTATAATTGAATGTTATTAAAAATTACCTTTCCTTTTCAATCAGTAATGCTGTAATTTTCTGTAAAATGCAATGTGATATGGCTACCTGGAGGCATTCTGTACACAGATGGTGTACAGAACACCCCCCAGAAATGTCATTTGCTCCTTATGTGATTGGCTCATTGATTTTCCCACAAGTACACTAAGATGCAAGTCATATTTTGGGCATTCCCTGCAACAAAAATGTCATTTTTGGTGAGATACTCCCAAAGGGAGATCACGTCCAGAGGCATGCAGGCCCTGCACTTTCCTCATCAGAACTCTACAAGTGCAGCAGTTGGTTAACAATTATAAAATCACTCCTATTCAGATTCACTCTCAACATGGACACAGAAAAACAAACAGCTATTTCTGCAGAATAACAAAACGTAGAAATCTGCCATAACGTTTGTTAAAATCCCTGTAATGTACATAGATCACCCAAGGGGGAATTTTTTTTTCCCAACAAAAATGGAGTTACTCTTTAAAGTATATCAAACTCCAGAAGCAAAAATATAATATATTACAGATTACTAGTCCTTAGATGTGATGGCTGCATTAGTTTTCTTTGTTTTTGGCTCTTTTTTGTTTATTTTCACCTTGTGATCATACTAGTATGTCTGATATTTTTATATTCCCTTGACAGACCAAGCTGTCCTGCAGATGTACCAGTTAGAGGGTTAAGACAAACCACTGACAGAGGTGCTTACAATGATTAGGGGAAAAAAAACAGTTTGTAGTTGCTTATAACTGTTAGCTGGAGTTGTGATTTAGCTTGGCAAGTCCATCTAAATCTGATGGTATGTCTAAAACTGGCCATACATGATTAGGTTTTTTCCATTCAGCTTGCTGGGTTAACGAAAGGGAACAAATTCCCCCATCCACACAAACCAGGCTATAGCCTGCAGCCAAGGCTGCTGTTAGAAACCACAGTGCCCTATACAGCCAACCTGGCAGGGTCCCCCTTCCAAAACAAAACACAGTTTACTATGCTTCAGTTATGAATGTACACAATTAGTGATTGTTAACGATCAGTCATTGTGTTCATTCGGGAAAGGAAGGGGCTGGAAAATGTAACGTATTTACTGGACCCTTCCCCCACTTTCCATCCTGAAAGATCTTGTTGTGTGCTTGCAGCTGCTGGAAAGAGACGAGGGAAGCTGGGGGTGGGGGGCACACAGGGGGCTTGGACAGTAAGGGGAAATTTATGGAAAGAGTGATGGGTGCAGCGGGGGGGGGGGGCAATTACTGGAACCAATCCCCTGTATGGCCCTTTCTGCAGCAGCTGAAATCCAGTGGGAGGAAGACGAGAAGAAGCCAACTTTCAGCTGCTGCAGAGAGAGCCATACAGGGGATCGAGTCCAGTATTTACCCCCTCCCACCATACCACTTATCACTTATTGTGTTCATTCAGGAAAAGAGGGGGTTGGTAAATGTAACATATTTATTGGACCCTTACCCCAGCCTCCATTCTGAAGGATCCTATTGTGTGTTTGCAGCTGTCAGTGGGAAGGAAAGAAGGGAAGCTGGCAGCATTGTTGGGGTAGGGGCACACAGGGGGGCCTGGGCAGCAGGGGGAAACATATGGTGTACAGGGAGGGTGATGGGTGTGGCGGGGTGGCAATTACTGGAACTGATCACCTATATGGCTCTCGCTGCAGCAGCTGAAAGCCAGTGGGAGGAAGAAGAGAAGAAGCCAGAGAGAGAGCCATACAGGGGATCGGTTCCAGTGATTGCCCCTCCCTGCCTTGCCGATCACCCTCCTTGCCCTCATCCAATCGACCCTGCTGGCCTGGGCCCCATACAGGAGGACTGGTTGTAGCCCCTTATCCATGGCCCTGTTAGCAGGTATAGTGGATTGGTAACCATGGAATATAGAAGCTAAATCAAAAAGAGGAAGGATTAGAACGGTGTCATTGAAAATTCCCATAGGGTTCCCTTTATAAATAAATCCCATAGGTACCAGGTTTAGG